CAGAAACTTATTTTACATCTAGTAAATAGGCGCATAATAGGTCCCCTTTAAATGCCAAACAGCCAAATTCAAGTTCATATTGACCCAGATAATAAAACCAATAAATAAACTATAAAACAGATTTAGAGTACCCTGTGTGAAGCTAACTGTATGGCTTATGGATTGTACAGAAACCTTCATGAACGTGAGTGTTTTGTTAAAAGGGTCATGAACCAAGAAAGCAAAATTCCCTAAATCTTTTGACATGTCAGAGTTCAGTACTATAAAATCATCCTATAGCAGATATCCCAAGTTGGAAAAAGTCATTTCCGGGGGATACAGAGTTGATTTGCGGGAGGTAGCAGGATAGTGGGGGTGGGGGGGAGGTGGGGGGTTGGTGTGGAAGGAAGGGGACTTTGTTGGTTGAAAAGTGAACAACGTATCTGAGAAGGGGAGCGTGTGTGCGCGCGATACAACAGAGCGATGGGAGTTGCGTGCATGACATGACATACCTGAAAAGCGGTAGGGGTCAGTTGCGCGACATACCTGAAAGCGGTAGGGGTCAGTTGCGCGACATACCTGAAGAGCGGTGGGGGTGAGTTGCACAAGACGTACCTGAAGAGCTAGTAGGAATGCGGTGGAGAGAGGGGTGTGCAACGTATTTAAGGACCGGGCAGGAGATGCGCGATTTCCGGGGGATTATCATTCATTTGCGGGCATCCGGGAGTGTCTATGCATTTCAGGGATACTCCCGCACCTTCCGGGAGACTTGGGATGTCTGCTATAGGTTTGAGAGATCAACAGTTTGTGGTTCCTCTGTAAGTCAGCTTATATTAAAGCCGTCTGATAAAACAACAGCTTCTGGAATTTTCTGCTCTGTGTTTACAACTCTGGGACAGTATGGAAGGGGCAAATAAAAAAGAAAGTAGTGATATCCAAATTTACTTTGCAGATAATACAACAAACCTTATTTAATGTGTTCCTCATGATTTTATTGTTAGTTTTTTAAATTTTGGTTCTTGCAACACATTAAAAAAAAAGTTGGAAGAGTAAAGCATTTACCACTTTAGCTGTGTGTCATTTCAGAGGCTGCATCCTTCGAAGGATGCATTCGAAGGGTGCTGCATCATCGCGCCGAAACGAAGGCTGTCTCATTTCAAAATAGTTCAAAGGCTCCTTCAAACGCAGACTTAAAATGCATCGTTCGTTTCTCAGGTAATAAAAGACACAACCGGTGGATCCTTTGCGGCCTCGAACGTCCCAAGATTGACTGTGCGCTGGTAACGGCAAAATGTTTTTAAAAGAAAACTCTGCATCAATGTATGAATTAGGTTTGATTTTACTTGGATATCTAAACACATGATATAGATGTAGAGGTGCTACGCACAAGGGGGTTGTTGCGACCAAAAGTAAAGAGAGAAGGGTTCTCGCGGACGAAAGTGAAGAGGGTTGGTGAGTCGCGGAAGAAAGTGAAAGTGAACAGCGGACGGAGGAGGAGGGCGGTTGAAAAAGGAAATCAGTAAAATGAGGTGCAGGATCAGATTTCAGAGGTGCCGGGAGAGGGGTCTGGCTGCAGACTCGGTGCAGTGCAATCGGAGCTGCATCCAATGCTTTTTAATGGGCTCACCTAACCCAACCCCAAACCCTAACCGTCACAGTGACGTCACTCACTCCATTGAGTGCATTGTGTCTGACGATGCATCACTGAGTGATGCAATCTCAGCTTGCATCATAAAGGCTGCATACAGATGCTATCCAGATCCGGCATGTTCCGGCACAAATTAAGCCCTGCATGCATGGATCAAAGGAAATGTATTTCCAGCTTCTGTAAACCTTGTTCTGCCTTCAAATCACTTAATATAAGTTTTAAAATCACTTAATAAAAAAAGTTATAGCAAATTTTATTACTACTTATTAACGGTAGCTGTTGTGGTTGCTAGGTGACAAGATCTGTCCTCTGTTCAGCTTGTATGGACTTCGAAGGACTAACACTTTGTCAGTCCTATGGAGGGTGCAGCCTTTGAAATGAGACAAAGCTTTTGTAATGTTGCCGTTCCTTTTCACAACACTTAAAAGACGTTTAGGGACTGAAGAAACCAAGTGATGAAGTGATTCAGGAGCCATTTTATCAAATTCCTCCTGCAAACATGTCTTAAGGTGGGCTACAGTTAGGGTTGGGTATCGTTTAGGGTTATTTCGATACCGGTGCTAAATTGATAATTTTAAAACGGTACCGGTGCCAAAACGGTGCCTGAACCAATTTTTTTTAGCCACAAAAAATTTTACATAAAAAAATTGTATCATTATAATAAAGCAATATTAATTTATATTAATAAGTTTAAAGTAAATTTCAATTCATATTTTATATATTTGAATTGCATTAATATATTTCTTTTGTTCATTTGTTTGTTAGCATGAATGCAAAATTTGCATTATGCTATAAATATTACATTAGCTTACTACTGACCTGTGGAAAGGCAATAATATGATTCAGGTGTTTACATGAGCTGCTTTTTTGAATATTACATTCATGATTCCCAGTTACATGTTATAGCACATACTGTAGATCCAGTAACATCATTGCGTCACCAGCCTATAAATGTTTCCTATGCAGTTTGTGTCTGTGGTCCTTTAAGATAATCAAAAATCACTGTTTACGTTGTCGACTCTTGATCTGAGTAGTGTCTTAATCATATTAAAATCAGAGTATTGGTGTCCAAGTAAACATGCTCACTGAAAGTGCCAGATGATGTCACAAGCTGTCAAAGACAGTCCATTCCTCACCTTCAAGTTGGTTCCATGAGCCCTCACATTTTATATGTTTGACATGTTTCCCCCCTAACACGCAAAATTTGTAAAGCATCTGTGCCAGAATCCTTGCTTGTAAAATACAGCCATACTGTAGAATGCTTAGTTTAAGCAAGTTAGATGAATGCGATCATGCGTGTTGATGAAGGGAGTCGCTCACCGCATGCGCCGTACTGCGCGATTTGCGAACAAACGCCTGACATCGCTGACGGTGTCTGTATCTCTCAAAGCTGTTTCGAATTAAATATATAAAGATGGTGTGACCAGGGTTGCCGAGTCCATAGAGGTGACCCAGGCAGCCGGTTTAGGCGGCAGAATATAGAGCACGGCGCCCACGACACAACTCACTTTCGTCCGGGACAACCTCCCACATCCACCCACCCCCGCCTTACTGTCGTACGCGCAATCACATCCTCCGTCTCTCGTTTTCTCTTTCAGTTTGAGGGCGGAATGATCATCGTTTGCTTCGAGCGCCAGTTCAGCTTGCTCCAGCCCTGGGTGTGACACAACATGTACTTATGTATGCCTTTGATGCACCCCTTGATGCTTCTTACATTCTTGTCGCAGCACAAGTGGCACCGAAATTAGGCACCAAAATTCATATGCTCATTTGGTCCAGTGCATGCCGGTTACAAAGGTAGCAGTGCCATAATGGCACCTGGTTTCAGTACCCAACCCTAGCAACAATACAGGGTCTTTGTTGTCATATTTTCTATTTGAGACAGGTCAGGACTGCAGGCAGGTCAGTCAAATACCTGTATCCCATCACTTGTTTCAAATCACATCTCATTATTTAACGAATTTACCTGATTACTCGCCCTACACTGCTCCTGTCCCAACTTTTTTCGGAGTGTGTTGCAGGTCTGAATGACAGGAAAGGATGTATATTCACAAATTAAATGAAGTTGACTAGAGAAAACATGAAATATTTTGTGTTCATATTGTCTGTACTGAAATACGAATCAAAGAAAATCACTACTTTCTTATTTTATTTGAGTTTTCTAAACTCTCCCGACTTTTTCTGATTTGGGGTTGTAATGCTGCATTCACACCAGACACGAAACGCGCGTCAGGCGCGAGTGATTTACATGTTAAGTCAATGCAAATGCATGAAAAGACATCATGCGGCGCAAATGTCGTAAATTTCGCGAATGGCGCGGGGCAAATTGACCGTTTTGTGCGTTTGACGAGCTTAACGAGCGTTTCGCGCGAATCTCTCCAGTTCAAAAATCTGAACTTCAGCGTACATTCGCGCAGCGTTAACCAATCAGAAGCTTGCTCTTGTGGGGGCGTGATTGTGACGTAGAACCTGTTGTCGGTGTCCCGAGGGAAATCCTCCAGCCTTCACTGACAACAGTTCATCAAACTGGGCTTGGCTCAGTCAGAAGCACCACTGAAAGCCTCCGTCATCCAGGTTCAGTTTCTGGAGGAGTTTATGAGCTCACAGAGCTGGATGCACCTCTGAAAGCATGTAGTGGACTCAGACACGACCCTAAACGTATCGACGCTGTTTTTCAGTCTTAATAAAGTACATAAACACTGTTATTTTCTTCATAAAATCCATGTTAGTCATTTAGCTGTAAAGCTAGAGTCACCGGGCAGACAGAAGCCCTGCCCATCACGCGAATCCGCGTCTGTTCTGAAGTGAATTTGACACGCGAATGAAGCGGGGTTTGACGCGCGAATGAAGCGAGTAAACTCAAATGTTCACGCGGCTATTTACGCACGAATTTACGCACAATTTATCCGCGCGTTCCGCGTCTGGTGTGAACAGCATAATAGTGTGAATAAGCTCTGCCTTTACAGAAGATTGACTTCTACTTCTACTCCCCTTCCTATTATCTATTATAATATTCAAAAGCGTTATCCAATCAGAGTAGTGGGAGTTTACAATTGGCTACACCCACTCAAACCGCACAGAAAATAGTCAATTACTTTTCATTTGTTTTCAAAGCAAGACTCTTGACATTATAAGTCACCTCAGTGAACAGTAAAAAATAATAAACTGAGGTAGTTTATGACCCCTTTAAAGGCACCATCATTACTGGCATTAAACTGCAATATATTTGAGCATCTAAAAAACATGTTCGGTAACAGTCATGTTTCATGCATTTCTATTTGTGTCACAGTATTGACTCCTTTTAAAGACACACACACAGGAGTGTATAGTGTTGTGTAGTACGTGTGTGTGCGTGTGTGTGTTTTCCTGAGGGTCAGAAGTACGTGTTGTGATGATGTGCTATTTGCCGGAGAGCGTCTCGTTGGTATGAACACCTACATGCGTCACTGCTCACTTCTCGCCACTGGAGCGGCTGATGAGACGACAGCGAGCTCTCGACCTGCAGCAAAAACAAAGACACCTTCAATCGTGATGCATGCTTGATTCTGATTAGCTGATGAGCATTGTAAGGTGTGCCGTTATTTTCAGATAAACGCACAGATAAAGTAGTTCCGGCAGGTTTTGAGCGGTGCATTACAGCTCCATATAATCAAAGAGCTTAGAATGACCAAGAGGCGACACTCAATAGAACGTTCCATTGCAACAGCAGCACCCAGCAACAGTCCCGGATTCCGCCATTGTGGAGTGAAAGTGGTCGGCTGTCCATTGGATCTTTTTTTTTTTTTTTTTTTGAACTTTATTTTTATACATTAAAACGTTTTACAGAACAGAACATTCAGTGACAGCAGCGGTCATTAACAAAAAAAAATAAATAAATAAAAATAAATAAATAAATAAAAAAAAGACAGTAGCCGCAGATGTAAATAAAAAAATTACAAAAAAAAAAAAACATACAATATTTTCAGTTTCGAAGGAGCTAGAAATACTATGTCCTATTCAGGTACAACGTAACAGGTGCCCATCTTTGTTTAAAAATATCCAGTTTTAGTTGAAGTTGAGCAGTCATATACTCCATTCTATATATGCAATCAAGTTTTTCTATCCACTGTACTATTGTTGGAGGGTGTGGCTTCATCCAATCTATTGTTATGGTCTTTCTTGCACTTAGTAAAAGTATATGTAGTATATATCTCTGGTTTTTATTATATATATATCCTGGGGTATCCCTTCAAGCAAGAAAAACAGGGGAGTAAAAGGTAGATCTACCTGCATAATTTTCATTATCTCAATCTTTACCCCTTGCCAAAATGCAAGTATCTTCGGACATTCCCAAAATATATGTGCGTGATTACCCACATTTCCGCAACCCCTCCAGCATTCCTCTGACTGTGGACGATTAGTATATTTGGAGACCATCAATGGTGTTCTAAAAAACCAAATTTTTGTTTTCCAGTCAAACTCTTTCCAGTTATGGCTGTTGATCCCCTTATGAGCTTCTGAACATATGTTTTCCCAAATATCATCCTCAATTTTTTCATTAAGTTCAGATTCCCATTTTTCTTTAATTTGAAGGGTGTTATCTGTTGAATCCAGAATTAGGCTATTATATATCTGTGATATGTGTCTTTTATGTAATCCTTTTTGTTTTTTTATATCAATAAAATACTGTTCAACATTAGTTGGGACTTTTTTGAATATTTCCTTTTATTTATGATTTGTAATATAGCTTCTTAATTGTAAGTATCGAAAGAAATCACTTGACGACAACATAAATTTGTCTTTAAGATAAGAGAATGAGTGCATAGTGTTTTCATTAAATAACTGTCCATTGGATCTTATTGCTGTCGCGATGGCAAGCAGCTGCTTTGTTTTTCATTTATTTATTTTAAAAAGTGCATTAAAGCTGAGATACAACCTGAAAGACGACAATACAACCCTTACTATCACAATCATCAGCACTTTTAATAGTTTATTATACAGACTTATAATATGCTGTTGTTCTATTAAAGTTTTCATTCCAAAATGCCCGCCGCGCCATCAAGTGGCTGTTTTCCAAATTGCACTAGAGTGTCGCCTCTTGGTGTCACGATTTAGCGTGATCAAAACAAGAAACAAAAAGGTGCGGATCCAAGTGCTGATTATTTATTTACAGTGCAACAAACAAGGTGATCAGAATACAAAGTAACAAATACACAACAAAACCAGAAACTAAATCAGAGATGAGGCTCAGGAATAACAAACTCAAACAACTAAACGTTACTAGAAAACAGACGAGACAAATAACCTACGAACTAGACTAAGGCAAAAACTCAAGAACAAGATCAGAATAACAAACTCGGAATACTAGACTTACTGGATACTCGGACAAGGAAGACAAACGACGCGATAACAAACAACGGTGGAATGATGGAATATATAGTCCAGATAATCAACGGTAACACAGAACAGATGTGATGACAGGTCAGTGTATGTGTTCCGGTGTATGCGCGTGGTATGCATGGAATTGTAGTCTTTCTGGGACGCTGTAGTGCCTTCTGAGTCCTGATGCACTACAGCGCCCTCAGGTGGTCACTGACAGATGTGACACTTGGTGATTCTATGCTCTTTGATATAATTATGCTGAATGATTTATTTCACAGCTACAACAGTGAGAAATCACATCAAAACACAACAGAAGGCTTTGGAGGAGATGTGGGAGAAACTAGTGCTACACACAAGTGCAGTTTGAGGACACAAACAACATCTGAACAGTGGCTGCAGCTGTGGAGCCCAGAGGAGAAGCAGAATAACTCACTTCTGGCCATTGAAGTATTAGAAAATAATGCATACCTGATATAATACAGGCACATTGGGTTATCATTTTAGAATAAGAATTAGTTATTATATTTATTATTTATATATAATATTGGGGGCGTCACGCTGGCTCACTAATTTGTATGTTTACCAATGCTTCATAAGGGAGCCTTACGAGAGGATGTGGTATTCTTTACTCACCATGTGGTTGAGATCTGCCATCAGCGGTGTGTTTTTGTCACAGTGAAGTGTGATGATGCTGGTCTCCACCCAGGCGTTATCAGTGTTCCTGCTGTCATCCACATAACCCTTATATACCTGCGCAGAGAGCAAACACATCCTGATGAGCAGCATGCATTTTTACTGTATGCACATTTGTATTGTACTTGTAATACAACCTTTTAACCCTTGTGTGCTTTAAGTGTGATTTTGAGTCTTAATTCGGCTACAACGTCCTGTGTTTCAGCAAATGGAATGATTTTTGCTGACAAATCTGGTTTTGACCAAGCGGCAACCTCCCGCTCTCCCTCGGGAGGCCAATACGGAAGTAACTGAAACTGCAATTCATTGAAAATCCGCTAGTCCTGGCTCCATAATAGAGCAAATTCCAATTGAGCCCACTGTTAGAATGACCAACTTAACAGCAGAAAAAATGGTGTTTACAGCCTGGTACAAAGAACGATTATGGTTCATACAGCTAATATTATCCTTCATGACAACTGTGAGGGGGGTGACTTTTTTTTATAACTCATCAGTTTCCTTTATATTAGGTTATATTAAGTTTGCATAATTAAGGGGCGTGGCCACTTGATTGACAGCTCGGTCTCGCTGTCACCGTCACTTCACCTCAGCTGACTCCGGCAGATTAGCCACTGATTTCGGCATGTTCATCATATTTCTGTGTTGTTTTATGTGGCTTTACACAGTCAGTCGCCTTTTGGGATTATTTCCTACAATTATCAGATGATATGGGATGCTGTGTGCACTTAATTGTGCTCACAAACCATTCACGTGGCCTCTGTTTACCATGTCAGTAAAGTTATATACTTATAGACCATCTCTATAGATGTATTTTTTTATTTAAGATCATGTATAATGTTCTTTAGAGCTGTAATGCACTGCAGAAACTGACAGATTGATTAGCTGTGGGCTCTAGAACAGTCATCTGAAGCGTTGTCATCCAGTGTCATCAATAGTCTTACATTTACTAACACAGACTATATCTGAAGTGTTTGGAAGTAATTCGCATTTTCCTCCTGTAAGAAAACATCACAAGAACAATGTTTAGTGGCTCAATGTATTACAGCAGTGTTTTTAAAAGGCTAAACACTTTATTGATATAGTGTACAGCCAAGCACATGTGGTCAGAACATAAACGAGTCGCAGGTGATAAAGTATTAAGCGTTCTCCCAAAGTAAAGTGTGTCTGAGGCAGGTCCAGGCAAAATGCCAGCAGTGTCTGTAGCTTCGCTCACTCTCCGCCTCTCTGTGCATACGCAATGCTTTAGTATGAATTCAATGCAAGACTGCGTACATGAGGCCCCTGGCCTTTGAACGCAATTGACGGCAGCTTCTTAACGAGAAGTCTGGGTTCAGGGGAACCCAACTGTCCTGCGGGGAGCTTTGCAGCTGGGTACATGATGGACGGGTGGGAAAAGTGGCAGGAGGATATTGAAGATATCTATCCAGAACTTAACAGGTGATAACAGGGTTTCTGCTGATGGGCTTAGGCAGAGCCCTGGGGTTATCACGATTGATGAAAGTGGTCAGTGTGGCTCAAAACCCCACCAAGCTGGCCAGCTGGATTGAAACAGTGGTGAGTTGTTACAAACCGAACAGTGGTTATAGACCACGAATTGGAAAACACTGAAGTGAAACTAGCAGCTTTGCAACGTGATTTGGACAGACCTGGAAACCAGTGATGGACATCAGATTTCTGTAAAATTGGTGGATATTGAAAACCTTTTCTTCTCTTTCGGCTATTCTGTAACTTTCCTGCCAGACGGCCTCAGCAGGAGACAAACAATTTCCCCTGGAGAACATGATAACGAGATGCTCTGACTTCCTGCTCCCTGATCCAAGGACACCTGTCCCACTCCTTCATGTGCTAGGGGGGTCTGTGGCCAGTGCCCCCTGGCTACAGGACCAAATGGCTGCCGCCTTCATCGGACTATATCCACATCCCCTGTTGCGGTGTTATGTTTATGTCTATGTGTATGTGCTCGGTTGCTGAGGCTTTTCTCCCCCTGATCTCACACTGCCCTACTTTAAGGACAGTCTGAGAGGGGCTTTTTATCACCTCCCTCTAACCAAATGAATCTTATTTTCTCTTTCTAAAAGCTACTTCTCGTCTGACCCGTCTTCCCCTGAAATGTGTGATGTTTGTGTATGGTCAAGGGGGTCCAATTTCACTACATGTAAAAGTGTATGTGACAAATAAAGGCTTCATCATCATCATCATATTTCTGAGAAATTTCAGATAAGTACATAAAAAGTTTACTGAAAGTTTATTGTTTAAACAAAGTATACTCATAGCACATAACTTTTTTTTATCAGTAAAGGATGTATTTTTTTCATCAAAAAATAAAATAAATAAATCAGTAACGTTTTGTAGTACATTCAAAACACCTAGAGTACAATAAGGAGGGGTTGAAAATGTTAATTCTATAACTAAATATCTGAACTTGCATGCTTAATTTTTCAGTACAACACAAGATAAGATGATATGTAAATGTAATCTAAAATTCAAATTCTAATGTTTTAAATCTTTTGCGCTTGCCATGCTCACCTCTTCTCCAGCTTTTAGAAGAGTCTTGGTCTTTTCATTTAACTTTTTACCCAGAATCCTCTCCAGCACCTGCGCTAGAGGCTCATCGGGTTTGGCTGGACCCTATAAAAAAACAACAGGCATAAAATATCTAGTTCAAACATGGCTAATACAAAATATATATATTTGATCATTTTAAGACTGGATCGAAATCAAATAAAATTATTTTCTTGATGTGAAATTCTCCTGTGAAACTCAAATTATTTTTCAAATGGTGTTTAACAGTTTTTTTCCAACACATTTTTCAACAATAGTTTTATTACCTAATAATAATTATTTTTTACCTGTGCAATGATGACAGCACATAATATTTTACTAGTTATTTTGCAAGATATTTAGCGCAATTCAAAGGCTGGATTAATTATGTTAATTTTGGTAAGTAAATCCAAACTATATTATAAATAATATAATATAAAATATTATCAAACTAAAAGAATTAATACTTTCTCCAGAAGAAAAATATAATAGGATATACTTTGCCCTGTTAAACAGTAATTGGAAAAAAATTGGAAAAATAATTAAAATTTTACCCTTGGGCTAATTCATTCAATTATTCATCTTCCTTCTGCTTAATCTCTTATATATCAGGGGTCGCCACAGTGGAATGAACCGTCAACTATTCCAGCATATGTTTTACACAGCGGATGCCCTTCTAGCCACAACCCAGAACTGGGAAACACCATAAGCTCTCACATTTACACACACACATACACTACAGTCAATTTAGCTCATTCAATCCACCTATAACGCATTTGTTTGCACTGTGGGGGAAACACCTGATACTCAAACCAGCAACCTTCTTGCTGTGAGGCGACAGTGCTAACCGTGCTGCCTTACCCATATAATATTATGACCAATTTGATTCTGAAATTTGTATTTTATGCATTTGTTTACCCCAAGAAGAGCCCAGCGCTTCTCTGCATCCTCCCAAATGGCCAGAAACTCCAGCACTTTGTGTTCAGCATCACGCCACCTTTAAAAAAAACAGCCATTATTCCTCTCACACAAACAGCAGGATGAACTGAGGACATCTAATCTGCCATAATCTCATAAACGATGCTGTAGGACTATGTGTTTTTCATTGCATACTTGAAATAGGATTAGAATTCCTGCATGTGATGCTGAAAGAAGAGCAGATTTCAGGATTTCAGAGCCACACCTGGTGAAAATGGGGTGGAGAATGTGATTCGGACCAAGGGTATTCAGAGCCCCTTTTCCTCGTATCCCAGTCCTGCCACCGGGATTCCTGTTAAATTCATACATAAGATGAGACTCTAACACAGGGGTGCCCAAACTCGGACAGGGAGGGCCGGTGTCCTGCATAGTTTAGCTCCAACTTCCTTCAACACACCTGCCTGGAAGATTCTAGTATACAAAGAGCTTGATTGGCTGGTTCAGGTGTGTTTAGTTGGGGTTGGAACTAAAATATGCAGGACACCGACCCTCCAGGACTGAGTTACTGAAATGTAAGCTGCAGTTGGAGAATAAGCTGTAGGAACAGTTTATTGAAATGTATGACAAGGAAATATATTCAGCTTTACATACCTGTGCTTGTCTAAGGCTGAAGTGTCAGATCTGTATAAAGAAAAAAATAATAAAAATAGATTTGTTTTTAGTGTTTATACAACTAAAACATTTCTGTCATCAACACCCTCAGGATTTAGTATGGTAATGAATTTGTATAGGGCAATGTTGATGTATTTGGTCTTGGCGGTATGGATCTGCTACACTGCTGCTGCTTTGATTATTATGACAGAGCAAGTACCAAGACCTGCTACTGCCAGTATATACACAGACATGCAGTCTGAGGCCGTACTTACACTATGTACAGTTGCCTCGAACCGGGCCAAAGCATGCTTGTCCCCCCTCCCGTCTCCCCCGACGGCCCGCGCTCACACTACAATCGGGCCTGGGCATGCTTACGTTATCGATGCTGCGCTGTTCAGTGAGCGCTCTCGCTCAGCACAGAGTAGATTTCTCTAGTTATATAGTTTAAGTTGTATGATATGCAGTGACATGCTGTCAAATATTTCATCAAACAGTCCTTAGGGATGCGGTGACTCGCAGTCAGATATTTCGCCGAACAGATCCGCCACTTTCTCATAAACATTCATAAAGCTCTCGTGTTGCAGGAATGAGGAGGTCTGCTGAAGGTGCGCAGCTGTGGTGCAGTGAGGGGTTTGCGTCTTTAATAATCTACGGCAGTTTATGTTCACTGAACAGTAAGATTGATTAATAAATCCATATGAAACAGTCCTTGAAGTCACGTTTGGCTTTCAGTTTCGGGCTTTGGCACATTTTGCACTCACACTACAAGCGTACCGCGCCAAAGCCCAAGTGAACCGCGCTCAGGCACACCTCTTCCATCTGGGCCAGGGCCGGCCAAGTGAACCGTGCTTGAGCCTGATTCAGTGCACTCACACTTCTCAAACGATCTGGGAAACGAGCCTGGGCACGGTTCGGATAGCATAGTGTGAGTAGGCCCTGAGAATATAACAAGTTGCTGCTGCAAACATAATATATATATATATATATATAACCCACATAGCAGATCTAAACATAGGTGGAGCTGGGGTGGAGGAGGGTCTTCGAAATCGTGCCACACGGATCATTTAAGCTGATGAGTAGCAAGCTTATTGGCTACCAAGGGGACAGCAACCAATCTTCTGACCATGTAACTAATGACACAGAAGCAGATTAGGTGACCTATTAGCCTGAAAGTTTCATGGCAGAAATTTCACGTATTTTGGGAGTAAAATAAGTCTTAAATATCAACAAAACTACAGGTAAATATTTTTTATATTTAACTATCTGTCTGAAAACCTTATTGAAGCATGTTCAAGTACTTTCGCAAAGTTTTTATATTTGAATCAGGTTTGATAATATTTATTTGGACCAAGCAACATGACCTTTTCTACATAAAATTCCACATTTGTAACAACACAAATAAAAATAATGAATAAAGAAATACTTTATGTTCTCATTTTCAAATTATTTTAAAATATATACTCAAAATTTTTACGAAGTAAATGTTAAAAGATAAGCTATAGTTTTAATTTAAACAATTAGTTAGTATCACTAGTTTTTTATTCAAGTTTTAACTGTTTTTGTCTTTTTCTATTATTTTTTTATTCCTTTTAAACCAGTTTGAACACATTTTAATCTGTTTTAGCTATTTTAATTCTTTGTTTTTATAGTAGTGTGATTAATTGACGACCCTTTTAATCTTCTTGTTTATGTAAATCACTTTAAATTACAATTGTGCATGAAATGTGCTATATTAGTAAACTTGAGTTTTGCCATTGTGTTGTTTAATAATTAAACCTCTGTTAATGCTATCTCCATATATGCTTTTTCTATATAATTTTGGTTTATTTTTATTTCACCTAGCCAAGTTAGACTAAATTCATTTTTATTTTTTGTTCCCATTTGTGTTTTAAATTTTTATATATTTTTTTCTCTGTGTGAATCTTAAGTTAAACTAAATCAAAATCAAAACGGAAATGCTGCTCTGACAGCTAGCTAAGATAAAACATAATATTTTCAAAATAATATATATATATTCATTCATTCATTCATTTTCTTGTTGGCTTAGTCCCTTTATTAATCCGGAGTTGCCACAACGGAATGAACCGCCAACTTATCCAGCAAGTTTTTACGCAGCTGATGCCCTTCCAGCCACAACCCATCTCTGGGAAACATCCACACACACACACTCATGCACTACGGACAATTTAGCCTACCCAATTAACCTGCACCACATGTCTTTGGACTGTGGGGGAAACCGGAGCACCAGGAGGAAACCCACGCGAAGCAGAAAGACCATGCAAACTCCACACAGAAACGCCAACTGAGCCGAGACTCAAACCAGCGACCTTGTTACTGTGAGGCAACAGCACTACCTACTGCGCCACTGCTTCGCCATATATATGATATATATATATATATATATATATATATATATATATATATATATATATATCATAAAGAAAAATCCAAGTTCTAATTATGTAACAATATTTTCATGCATTTTACTTGTAAATACACAATACAACTGTAAAAATTAATAAGTAATAACATGACTTGAATGAACTTTAGAACAGAGTTTCAGATTACATATTTCAGACCGCATAATATTAGCATAAGACTGTATTATCATTGACCATATGATTAATAAAACTTACTCGCTGCTGTCCTGTTGATTGTAAACTGGAGGTTGATAAGGGCTGAAGTTTACCTAAAAAAAAAAACAACAAAAAAAGAGTCAGCTATGACAAATAACACAACAGATTGTTGCTTAAAGACATAGTTTACACAAAAATGAGAATTC